ACAACAGAGTCCTCTGTGCAGCTCAAGTGTTAGAAAAATGCCTAACAGAGCTTTCTCAGACCACCCTGGGCATGACTAAGGATTCAGGAACCATCCTCAAACCTTACTATTAGTCTACATACATACCTTACTGTGAGGGTGACAGAATTAAATATTACGAATTCAGAGCCTTCTATGCTAAAAAGCAGTTCCAGGCACCTTTAATTTACTTGTAGAGACATAATTCAAGTTACATCAGGAAGAGTTGAGGTGCATCCACCAGGCTCTGATCATGCAACTCCTCATGATTCTGACTGTAAGGTCACTCCACACACCCAGCTCCATAGCACCAGTTCAACTCTCTGTGTGGTCATTTGGAAAACCAGATTTATGAAAATATCCAGCTTGAACATCCAAACCAAAGTAAAACAAACAACTAAAAAAGATGTAGGTATGTGCATATGCATGTTTCCAAGCAGCTGAATTAGCTCTGGAAAATCTCCATGGAGGGTGGAACATGAAGGCAAAATAAAGGATATGATCTACATCAGAGGCAGGTGATCCACTACAGCTGGGATATCATGCTTGACTTCTTGACCAACAAACCTCAGATTCTGAATGCAAGTGGTATAGCTAGAGGGCAACTATGTATCGTATAGCTAGATTTCTGCTACAAGCTTCTTTTATTGAAAAAGATGTGAAGAAGTACTACATTTTAAAGTACCCTACTTTTCAGAAATCAGTGCAACTAAGTTCAAAGCATATTTTATATGTTCTCAAGAGACACAAGATTCCTCAAGGTTAGGATAGGCATGTAACTTGATTCAAATGGGAAAATTATTAGCAACAAAAACAAAAACAAAACAAAAAACAAACAAACAACAACAACAACAACAAAAACTCAAAGGAAAGGAAATACCACAGGGATAACCACAAAGAAATAAAAGAACAGTGCATGCAACATCTTGTCTGCCACTCTGCAAGCAAATCTTTAGTCAACATTTACTTTTAGCTTATAGAAGTAGTCTGCATTCATTGGAATTTTGACTGGAACTCCCTTGCTTAAAAAGTTGATAATTCATTCTGTCTCTAGGCCACCAACTTAAACAATGAAACACATGCTGAATAGTGTTGGGACTGGAAGAAACAGGAAAACATTGCATTTTGATTTGAATCTTCCACATACTTAGCAAAAAGGGAAACGTTCTGAAAAAGTATTCATCAATTCTGAAGGTATTCTTTTAAAGTGGTTCACTGTCATGGACAAATTGAATTACATTGGCATGCAAGATTTTTCAAGCTCTTTGTCCAAAGTAGTCATTTTCATTCCAGGTGGAGCTGCACTCAATAGTTGTGAACAAAACCACTAGAGGAAACATTTTCTTCAGACTTTAGGGGAAAAAAAACAACAATCATCAAATGTTACTCTGTTCTAAGAGAATAGTTGCTTTTGGAATAAATGACCTTTTTATTGTCTTTTGTGTGTCCTTTGTCTTTCTTCTTTCTTGTGTCTTGTGTGTCTTGTCTTTTTCTTGTCTTTTAAAACTTATTTAAATCAACTAGTGCATTCAGGATATCATTTAATGCTACTCAGAGGTGTCACAAGGGGTTGCATTTATCAATGCAGAGTTAACTAGTGCAGTCCATGTGTGGGTGTATTAAGGGGGAATTTTAGATAAAAAAAGGACTAGATGGCAAACATGAGGGGCATCCCAACTAGGATTTGGGATGAGCTCTGGGAAAACCTGACTGAAATGGTAAATGAATATTGGGTGATAACTGCAGAGAACACAAGGGAGAAAGAGACTTAAGGCATCAGATATGGGATCAATTTATTTTACTTCCCTTTATTCAGTAACCAGTCATGACTAAAAACCAAATTAACTTAAAATTCCTTGAACAGCTATTAAACCAGAAAGCAGCAGAATCTGACTGAAAATGACATTACCTACCAAAACATGGCAATATCCTACCATCTTAGCTACAAAAAGAAATTACTCCATTAGTCGTGTTACAGTTTTGAATGAATGCTATGTTTATCAACATGATGTTGTATAGGGATTCCTTTATATAGTAATTTAAAAATAAACACAAATGGGGCAGGGTCTTTGTTTCATCCCGCTTTAGATTTATATTAATCAGTGATGGCAGATAAACTGATATAGATCTTGATTTGGCTAGAAAACTTGACAAAAGACTATATGGTACTAATAATTTTTAGACAACTGCATGAGGGAGCTGCCTGTGCATCTCTTACATTTTCCTGCACAACTTTCTTTATTAATCAAGAGACTCATACAAATTAATATTATTTCAGAAATATTTATGTGCTTTTTCTCACTTCATGATTGAGCCCATGGCAATCCTCTTGAGCTCTTTCCCCACAATGGTGACATCAGATCCACATTTGATTCATTTAATTCCTTTCCCATAAGTAAAACAACTTGTCTGCCATGGTATATAGGGTACCAAGTTATCTGTAACAGATTACTGATTAATTGCACGAATGTAAATTATTTATTTATTTATTTATTTTTTGTAAAATTGACTTATTTATGCCAGTTATGCTTCTTTTTATTTTCTTTTTATTTTATAATTCAGTTTCAAAATGCAAGTCTAAGAAGATATATACACCTATACAACCTATAGATAAGATGAATATAAGAATACTACTCTGTTCTTTATTTCTTGAGTTGATCAAACTGTGTACTGGAAATTTAATATTGGAAATTAAATGATTAAACTTTTTTAAAAGCAATTTCAGTTCCAGAATAAATTGCTTTATTCTGTTCTTTTGTACTTATGATAGCAATAATGGCTTTACAGTTTTGGAATTTGTGGAAATGCTGTAAATACAGAGCAATCCCTTTCTCTGTGCCTTGTGGGTTTACCTCTCCATCAGATTTTTTATCTCGGAAAAGGAGAAAGCATAGGGAAAGCCCACCTTTTCATGGCTTGAAATTTCACACGTATCACATTTTTCCTAGTAGCAAAAAGAGATATGTCACATTTTGCATAAATTTGATTTTGACTGATATACTTATCCTATCCTTGCTCATTTTTTCCTCTTTTATTTAAAACAGAAAGATTCCATCAGATTTTTTATCTCGGAAAAGGAGAAAGCATAGGGAAAGCCCACCTTTTCATGGCTTGAAATTTCACACGTATCACATTTTTCCTAGTAGCAAAAAGAGATATGCCACATTTTGCATAAATTTGATTTTGACTGATATACTTATCCTATCCTTGCTCATTTTTTCCTCCTTTATTTAAAACAGAAAGATTATATATATATATATATATTTTTTTTTTTTCTAAAGCCTACATTGCTTGCTAAATGACGTTTTATCTTTCACTACAGAAACTGACCAATGTCACCTACAGATTAAATTTAGTGGAATGAGTTTACCAAAACTGACCAAAGCACCACAGTTTACATGATAATATCAAATAATGATATTATCATTAACCTGCCAAATTAGTACACTATGAAAAAGAATCAATGTGTATTTTCATTTGTTGTTCTTCTTTCCTCCTGGCAAATGGTGTTGCCATCTACTTAGCCTTCTCAGTCACATCATAACAGATAAGTAACTTGTTTTACTAAATTGATTAAATAGCATTCAGTGTGTGTGAAAAAATGGAAGGGGACAAAGCATTCTCTTTTGTACTTGGACCAGTGGAGTTTTGTGTCTACATCAATAGAGAAATGGCTTGAAATGTCACATAGACATGAAAGAAAGCTATTGATTTTATTATGTGGATGAAGTTCCCCATTGGTTAACACAGTTACATTGCTTGAACCTAGAATACTGATAAACAATTCATTTTGATTTCTGTCACCACTGTTGCATCTAAGCAGTATATTTATTATAATACTGTCTTAAAGATGAATCATTCTGTTCATTTTCATATCTCACTTCAATTTATTTTATTGTCACTAAGAATGAATATCTATATCTTTTTGGTCCAGACTTTTTCCTAAGCAATCCCTTGGTATGTCCCTAGTGACACTTCCAGTGCTTCTGCAACTTCACTATTGCCCATTAGAAAGTGTCTAGGCTCATAAAAGCAAGAGACTACTGCAAGTGGGGGTTATAAACAACCAACATTTGCTTTCATGTTTAGAAACTCCATATTTATCATAAGGCAGAGGAACATTGTTGAAAAAAACACAGGTAAGTGTTTTAAAAAGTATTAAGGTTTTTTTTTTTTTTTTTTTTTTTTTTTTTTGGGGGGGGGGGAGTTGGGTAGAGCCTGGTGGTGGAGATGAACACCTATGAAAAATGTTCTTTTCTCATATTGTCATGTGCAGTGGAGCTGAGTTGAATAAATGTCCACATCTGCAATGTAGATGTCTGCACCTAAGGTAGCTGTCTATATTTGAGGGAGTAAAATGGTGATTTATCTAATTCTAAAGGGGATGTTTCAAATAGCTCAGATGAATTGTGGTCTATAAGAACATATTTCTCTCTACAGAAAAGGGAGTTGATTTAGATGTTAAAATTAGGTGAAAATAATCCTTCCCACACTGTGAGGCAAAGTGTTAAAAAAAAAAACTACAAATGAATGTATGGAACAGCTAACAGGCTTCCAGGTAAAAACTTACTTTAATTCAGCCCTTCTGTAGAGTTAGTGAATGCTTAATTTTATTTCATTTTTTTCCAAGTGAAAATAATAGAAAACTATTTGTCCCAAAATAAAATGCCAATGCACATGAAAGCTAATGAAAAATATTATTCAGAGGAAGAGGAAAGATAGGAAAGAGAGATGATATTTGAGATATATTTTTTTGTGTATAGCCTGTATAAAAATGAATCAAGTAAAACAATAGAAAGCTGTGACAAACATGTTAAGTATGAAACTGGCTACTCCTGCTAGGTGGGTTAGGTGCATTTATTGAAAGATTACACTATGCTTACAAGAATATTTTCTAGATTTAGTTAAGAAAGTTCTATTCTGAAGACCCTTTTTTTTTTTTTTTTTTTTCCAGCTGACAGGGCTATTGACATTTATCTTACCTCTATGAAGAAGAGACTAGCAGCTGATGTTGGATGATGGTACATATAGACAGTCACGAGGATGGCTGCAGCCACAATGAGGACCAGGACTAGAATACCAACAATTAAGCCAGCGTGAAGTGTTCCACCTTTCTTCTCTGCAGCACTGTCATCTGTGGAAGCTGCATGAATGGAACACTTATTAGTACAGTAACTTATGTCTTATCCATTCCATTTCGCAGCTGGCAACAGAACATTTGCTTTTTCTGTATTACATTTTCCTTACCTTTTGCACTCCAAGTGGGGAAAGATGTTAGATGTCTTTGTCCCACACAACTGAACATTCATAATGAACAGATACTTCCAAATCATAGAATCATTAAGGTTGGAAAAGACCTTCAAGTTCATCTGGTCCAACTGTCACCCTACTACCAATGTCACCCACTAACCCATGTCCCTGAGTGCCAGGTCCAACCTTTCCTTGAAGACCCCCAGGGACAGTGACGCCACCACATCCCTGGGCAATCCATTCCAATGCCTGACTTCTCTTTCTGAAGAGAAGTGTCTCCTCATTTCTAACCTAAACTTCCCCTGGCGCAACTTGAGGACATATCCTCTAGTCTTATCACTAGTTACTTGTGAGAAGAGGCTGACCCCCCAGCTCCTCACACCTTCAACATTTTACTAATTCTGACTCTATAAACACAAAATTAATATCCTTTTATTTTAATATAATCTGGACTTTCTGACGTTCCCAATTGCCTTCATAATGAATTTTCCCTTGCTTTCCTGATTAAACTACTGCAGTTGCCCTTCAGACAAGTGCTAATTGAATCCATTTTGCATGTTGTATCTTATTTTTTAAAGCCTCAGGTTGAGCAATGCCACTAATCCTTGTGAGGTCTGGCCAATAAACAAATTCTGAAAGCCTGATTCATTAGTTTGGAGAGGGGTTTTGAACCAAGCTGTGCAACTGAATCAGACTGCTAAAAGTGTGCCAAAACAGATGCATGCTAAATGACCCTGTAATATTTTACTCTTGGTTTGAATGGAATACACATTGTACCAAAGTGTTATGGAAGATCGTCTATTTACTAAACTTGGTACTGAGAGGTTGTTCATATTATGTTCCTGTCAGGAGAAAACAGCTCTGTCACACAAGTAACTTGTCAGTAGTACTTCCAAGTAAGTGACTAAGTCTTTTAACAGCACTGTGACCTCTGTGAAAAAGTCTCTCAATAAACTACCCAACATATGTAGGATTGCTTGTGGTTGGGTGTAACTTCTTTGAACACCCCAGAGTATCACAGCTAGTGTAAACATGATGATCAGCAATGATTCTTCAGTATTGTCTTGCATAAAAGAAAGGCTCTTCTACCCATCACTGCAGGCAGCAGTGATTAAGAAGCACTGGGTTTAAGAAACACCATCAGGGCACCGCTGATTTGGCTTCAGAAACTTGCATCACTCTTCTAATATTTCCACTGATTTCTGCCTTTCTGGCAATCTGTCAAATCACCTCTGTGACTTACTCCATAAAAAACTTGTCTCTAGTTTCACTTATAGGATTTTTTTCTTCAATTCCACTGTTAAATTTCCTCTCAACATGCTTGTTTCCCAAGCTGATTATAATGAAAGTGGTTGATTTCTACAGTACCCATTTTGTTTGTGCTGTTTTAGAGTTTGGTTGTGTCACAGTTTGGAGTGTCACAGTCTGTGAGGTCAGGGGCTATCTCCCTTATATTTGCTCTTAAAAAACAACTATTAAGTTCTGGGTATTGCTTCCAGCAAATTATTGTTATTATTATTAATAATAATAATTAATTAATTAACAACAACAACAATAACAACAATAACAATGCTTGTACATGGTCTTTCCCCATGAATATGATTACAGTTGAAACACTCCACACTAATATTTAAAAAAAAAATGAACTGGAAAATACAGAATAAGTATCTATTGATCCTTACTCAGCATTAAATGCCTTGTACAAGGAACAATACAAGAAAACAGGAATGGTTAATCTTAGTGTAATAGCTCATACATCCAGGTGTAACAACACTTTTCCTCAATAGCCCAAAGAAGGACTGCATGACCCTGTTGCAATAATAGGGAGAAAAGGAAAATGAAGATGCATTATTTTAGTCAAGAGCTGTTTCTAACCATAACATGGAAATAAATATATGCAATAAGAACTTATTCATGTAAGTTTCCTTTGCTTTGATCTGTATTTTCTAAACCTTGAGGCAGGACAGCTGAATCTGCACAGCACTGCTCTGCTCTTCCTCATGAAGTCAGTAACAATATTTATTACTTGCACTTGTATTTCAAATTGCAAAGTAAATGCAAATTAAGCAACTGAAAGGCCATCAGAAAAGGCCTACTGTATTCTATGTGCATTGAGTCGGGCTATTAATTCCCAGTGATGAGCAGTTACTTGTGTGAGTCACCACACTGAGAAGTAACTACTTCCCAGAAGGAGCAGAAGGTTCATAGACTGTCTCATAATTTGCTTTCTGACAGCTTCTTATTCTTTGACTCTTCCCTTCAATACCTCATTGGTACATCATAGACTGCTTGATCACTTGTACACGTTTCCAGGCCTATTTACATTAAATGAGTGATTCGTATTGTAACTAGTCCTTTGTATTACAAAGGACTTTACATCATTACAATTTGTATTGTAACAAAGTCCTTTAAGGACATCGAGGTGCTTGAGCGGGTCCAGAGAAGGGCGACGAAGCTCGTGAGGGGCCTGGAGAACAAGTCCTATGAGGAATGGCTGAAGGAGCTGGGCTTGTTCAGCCTGGAGAAGAGGAGGCTCAGGGGCGACCTTATCGCTCTCTACAGATACCTTAAAGGAGGCTGTAGTGAGGTGGGGGTTGGCCTGTTCTCCCATGTGCCTGGTGACAGGACGAGGGGGAATGGGCTTAAGTTGTGCCAGGGGAGTTTTAGGTTAGATGTTAGGAAGAACTTCTTTACTGAAAGGGTTGTTAGGCACTGGAACAGGCTGCCCAGGGAGGTGGTGGAGTCACCATCCCTAGAAGTCTTTAAAAGACGTTTAGATGTAGAGCTTAGGGATATGGTTTAGTGGGGACTGTTAGTGTTAGGTTAGAGGTTGGACTCGATGATCTTGAGGTCTCTTCCAACCTAGAAATTCTGTGATTCTGTAATTCTGTGATTCTGTGTGTTAGTTTATGATTGAAGGCAGAACATTGTATTCTGCACATCAAGAAATGCTGGACTTCAGCAAAGGCCTTAAGCACTTTGTGAAGACTATCAAATGAATCCCCTTTGATTTGATATTTTTTTCAGCATTTAGCATGTAGCTTTGCAACTGAGTATGCTGTCACTTTCAAATAACACAGGTGACAACAGCCTGCCTAGATTTCTACTAGTCTAGGGTGGAGCACTGCATGGACATCAGTGCAGTAATCAGAATGGCAAATTTGAAAACAAATGAAATACAAGAAATGCTTTTCTTAGATGAAAAGAAGTGTAAGTAACTTATAATTTCCATAATTGAAACTCATTTCATTGACCCCAGGGCTCAAATACTCATGAGAAATTGATTTCACTCTCTTTGCACAGAGACTATAAACAGTGTTGTCAACTTTGAAAATACTCTGCTGCAAAATCAACTGTCAGCTCTTTTAAAAAGCTACTAAGGGAAATAGATGAAAAAAAAAAAAAGGGGGGCTCAGACAGAAACTTTTTCAGGTGCAGAAATCTTATTAAGCTTATCACAGCAGCATCTGCTGTTCCAAGCAAGGCTAATCCCATAGGAGGATATTTGTCTTATAACCAACCCTTTCCCAAGCTTTCTCAGTGGAACTTTCCCCAAACTTTCATTTTCTTGTGCTCAAAATAGCAGTAGTTACATACAATATGCTCTATTTACAATTCCTCCACAGATTTTTTTTCATGTATAAACCTTTGAAGCAGAAGGAACATGTTAACATCTGCAAGGTTAGTCTGCATCTAATTAGGTTCTGAATAAGTACAGAAACAACAACTAACTTTTTCCCAAGTATAAAGACACAAAATACTAACACAAAATAACCATTTTCCTGCTGGAATGCTGTCTAAAAAAAAAATAAAAATAATTGAAAAACCAAAACCAAAACCAACACCCTGTTGTCATTGTTTGTATGATAAATACATTGGGACTATCATCTTTTATTTTCTATTATTATGTTATATCTCTACTTACCATTAGATTAGAGTCTTTTGGCACAGAAGAAAACAAAAAGTGAAGGAATTGTGATTAAAAAAATCTTGTCCTGGCCTATGCGGACTGTGATGCTGACTTTAAGAGGAATGTACAAACAGGGATGGTTACCTAAAGCATTTGCAAACACACTGTGGATGGATTCTTAATACTGTTTATTTCACTATTGCATATTAATCATTGAGGTTTGCAAAAGATGCAAAAAAACCCCAACGTTTTCTATTACCTAAACTTAAGGTTCTCATGAAGTTTCCACTCTGATAGTTTTACATATAAGAAAACAAAACTGTGATACATACATATACATCTTTCATGATATGAGATGGAAAAGAATGTATTTGCTGAAGCTTTACATATCTGCCTGTGAGGACAGAGATATGAAAAACTTTTGTTGGAAAATGGAAGAAAAATATGTGAAGCTAGAAGCTTTCCTTTAGATAAAGTGACATGGATCTAAGGGCAAATGATATATGAAAAAAAAAGAAAAAAGAAAAAAAAAGAATTTCATCGTGTACCTTGAAACATCCACATCCACTTTTTACTCTTGCATTTTAGTCAGATGGTAAAAAGCTTCCATACAAACTTAGATGCATGTGCACCTTTACAGGATATGTTGCAATACCTTATTCGATGCTTCTGACTGACACAGCTATATTAGAAAAGCCAGGGGTACAGATGATCTAAATAACAGCAATCAGCCTAAAGACAATAATCATTAACGTTTCTCCATGAAGAACACTTCTCCCCTCTTTTTACCTGATGAATGAATTTTCATGGTAAACCTCTGCATTTATCACAAAAAGATAAAGAATAAACTCTGCAACTACTTTTTATACAGGAATGATTTATTATAAAATGTGTGTTTGCTGTTAGGTCATGTAGTAGAATAGGACATATTCTTAAAATATGCTCATTAAAAGCATTTTTTAATCTGTCTGGTCAGATGAATA